CTGACCGGAATTAATATAAAACCGGGCAAAATTAAAATAACTGACCAGAATTAATATAATGCCGGGCAAAATTAATCGGAATTAATAAAAAAAATTTTTTTTCTTTAAATGCACTCCTTCTCTAAATGCACACTTGCTTTTAGGTCCCAAGGAGGTGCATTTAGGGAGGGTTCTCTGTATCTGAACAAAAGATATTTGAATTTTAATAGTAAAAAAAAAACAAAATTATAATCATGAGAGAAAAAAGAATAAAGAAAAAAAAATATTAAAAAGATAATTAACCTGCAAACATATAAGGACAGAGATTCAATATAGAAGAGGCAGACAAAATATTAAAAAAACTTATAAACAACTGACTCAATCAGGAAAAGAATATTATAATCTTTAACTTTTATAATTATTTCTTATATAATAGCAACATTAATAAAACCTTGACATGTTAATTTTGATAAGATCCCAGGATCAATAGTAATAAGCCAATATGGAATAACTTGATATAGCATAACATGCATCTAAAATAGTCTATAGATAGTAATTTTTGCAAAAGAAATACAAATGATACTAAATAAAGTATGTTAAACAAGGCTGTGTTAGTTGAAATATACAGTATATACAGTATATATTAAAAACCAATATTGTCAAGTTTTTAAACAATTAAAGTTTTAATTACAATTGAAAAAAATAACTTCAAGATCTTCAAGTGTACAGTATTTTTTATATGTAATAATATCAAATAATTTTAAGCTTTTCCGAATTCAAATGTATATTTAAATCTTTTGAAAACAATAATTTAATTCAAAATAAAACAAATTAATCAACTTTTGTAAATTTCATAAAATTTACGCCAGCGATTTTTAACAACTTTTTTTAAATTTCAGTACTTCGATCTAAAATTAAAATAATTAGGTATTTGACAAAGCTTGATAAAGTCTAGGGAAATATATCAACTTGGTTTGGTAAGAATCTTTTTTTAAGGAATTGTACAAGAAATTAAAAATTATACAATCAAGCATTAAATTTAAAGACGGGAAGACAGTAATCTACTTTTGTGATGGTTGGTTCATAATGTCCACATATCTGGCTCGAACAGGACGTCGTGTACTGGCACTGGATGCACTTCTACGACTACCTGGAGGTGGTGTTGGGGCACTACTAGAAGAATTTATAGGAGGTGGGCTTGTTGATGCTTTATTCATCGGTGGCAATGATTGCTGCTTAGCAGGGGTCGCGTTCAATGGCATTGATTGTCTCTTTAAGTTCATCATAGAAGCTGATGGTGTGGGTGATGTAGTTTTAGCGCGCGATAGTGGTGGTGGAGGTGGTGCTAAATTCGAGGGGGTGTCGGATCCACCCTGCGTAGAAAAAAGTATATATTACTGAGCAAATTAAAAGATTTATAGATTAGGAGTAAAAGATATTACCTTTTTGTTAACCCATTTTTTCTGAACGGGGTCAAAATAAAATGAGTTTTCTTCGCCCAAGTTAGCTACTTTTCCTCCTCCTTCCTTCTTTCCAAAGAATCTTTCAAACCAGCCTTTTCTATTCTCTAAAATTTGAGTCGATGAAGATTAATAAATATCCATAATGAGATTCTAGTTTTATTAACGCGTTATGGGATTGACAGATTACCATCTTTTTTCTCATTTTCGTTCTTCTTTTCAGGACTTTCCGAAGATTCCGTGTGATCATCATTTTCAGAAGAGTCTTTGGATTCCACGTTCTGATTAGATTTCTTTTTTGAAAACGAATTATTACCTAATCCCAAGTCATCATCCCAATCATTGTTATTATCTGTTGTCGAAGTAACTGGTTCAGAAGCCGGTAAGAGTTGAGTATAACTATTGCCCATCGGTGATATAAATTCACCTTCCAAGCTATTGGCTTGGGTCTGATCTTGCTTTTGATCATAATTATCACCAGAATAAGAACTATTCCACCATCCAGAGTTATTTGAATATGCCGTATTTTCGGATGAATAATAATATGGGTAAGTATGTTGATTTTTGTTCTGCTGCTTCGCATTGGATCCGGAGTTATTATTATCAGAGATTGTATTATTATAACCCTGTTGAGCTTGCTGACCATACGAATTTGATCCATATTGGTACGCATTCGAATATTCAGTTTCTAAGGGCTGGAAAGAGCCGTAACCAGAGTATAAATTCGTATTTTGCCCTTGATGATCAACGGCAGAATATCCATTATCTGTCGAAAAAGATTGACCTTCTGGAACAGTCGATATTGAGTTCTGTCCATCGAAAGAGACTGGACTGAAAGCATTAGAATGATATCCGTTTACTGCACGAGCATCAGCATGCGCGTTCACACCGGGTGTTGAGGACCTACGCTGTCGCACGTCGGCCTGCTTTTGCAATATCACACTGGACGTGGTCGAAGCGGAAGCCGAACGAAAGTCTACAGCAGAAGCACTACGAGACGGGACGTCTGGCGTTGTAGTGCTAAAATGAGAGAAAGGACCAACAACTTCCTGAGAATCAGAAGTTTCATCAGCATTATCCCCGGCAACAAATTTATTGAATTTTCCTTCAAGAGAGCCCCATAGAGAATCAAGAGTCGCTTTTGGCATTTTCTTAGCAAATAACCATGATGATGATTCATTTGTGCTAATTGATTAAAATATGAGACTTACTTAAAAAGACGATGGACGCATTACTGTATAAATCAATATACATTAAACTTACTTATTACTGCCCCCATGTTCAAGTAGACGTTGTGTAAGATCCTTTAGCTTTTGTAAAAAGCATCCGTGAAAATACGGTGAACCTTTTGTGTATAACTTCACAATATTCGCGATTGATTCACAATATCTACGTAAGATTTAATGGAATTCAACGGTCATTATAATTACTTCAAAATAATCATGATTAAACATCGATTACCTCCTGGCTTCATCCAGATATCCACAATCAGCTAACCACCACGCATATATGAGTTTGTAGGGCTGTAAGAACGGTAGTCCACTTTCATTGCTTTTCAGAGACAGTCCGAACTCATAAATTTCGGTAAGCTGCAACGCCTGCCAGTCGTGAAAGGAGCGGGTCAATTGATCGAGAACGAAATCATAACCCATAAGTGTGTAACGTGAATTAGGCGCGTCAACGCCAGAATGGATAGATGTTTGTGGAGATAAAATATAACTAATATAAAAGATAATTACAAAAATTGTGGAGGAAACAAAATAACAGATGGTACAATATAGAAAATTCATACCAGACATGGGCCGCATGAATCCATCCATATTCTTTTAACATATCCCCTAATGCAGTAATCGCTTTATTGTCACCAGGTGAACGATTAGCTAAAATTATTGCCAATGTTTCTTGCCATTTTTCTAAGCTTTCAACAGGTACTTCATCTGTTCCGGTACCATAATGTACATTGCTAACAGGGTTAGGTACTGAGTTATTTGGATATGTTGTAGCGGTTGACGAATGAGTCACTCGATTAAGCAAAGTTTGCTGAGGTAGAAATTGTTTGACTGCAAAGAATTAACAATAAATCATCCTTTTTAAAACGAAGAAATTGACAGCTCTAAAAAATAATGGAATTTTTGATTTTACCTGAATTTTGTCCATGACCAGCAAATAGTGAATATAGCACTCTTAAGCTTTCTCTTCCATTTGATTGAAGGGATTCACCATTTTGAGATCCCAATTCATGTCTGACAAAACCACTTACAACTTCTTTCCATTGTTCCTTATTCACGCAACTTGCGATTATCAAAGCGTGAGCCCATAAATTTTCATTCATTGCATGATTTATAGCAGCTACTCGGTCACCTTTGAGCAATAGACCTTGTATTACATCAATCGATTCGGGAGAAATATTACGCACAATTGGTGGCTTGATCGAAGAATTTGATAAACTTTGTGAAGAATCAAGGCTTTTATCAGCAGGAACAGTAAAATTTGCGTCATCATCTTTTGTATCATTATGTAAAGACGGGATTAAGATATTGCGTACAGCCTCTTCGACTTTTGAACTGGTAAGAATAATATCAAAAATTTATTTAAAAAATTTTGCAACATAGGTTGCCTAATTAAATAAAATATTGCATCTATAACTAACCTTCCAATGAGGGCACCATCATTTTCAAACATGATCTTTAATAGACTCCATAAAATTATACTATCTTTCAACGTTTTCTTTTCTAACTCCTCGCCAACAAACGTACTCAAAGATTCCTCTGCAATTTTGAGCTGATCGTCCAGATATTTTAGTATACATTTTTTCTTTGCTTTTACACCACCTTTATTATTGTCCATTAGCAGTGGACCTGGAAATTCCCCAATACCTGATAGTGAAACAACATCTTTTAGTGTACGTATTGTAAATACGCCAGGTGCATATTTTGTAATAGGTACGTCTTGTTCCGTGCTGGTAAAACGTTGTACTGTACGGGGAAACATGGTGAAAATTTTCCCTCCAAATCCAAATGCCACTATAGGGTGTCCTTTTGTCCTTCCTAATGGATCATTAAACTCAGATATGACTTCGGCACTATACTGTCGTTGTGTTGGCAAAACTGAAGCATTCTGCGAATCTAATCCAGGTGAAGAAGAATGATAACCAAATGATTCCTGTGGTGGAGCATATGTAATAGATGATGATGAATGTTTTACGTGATCTGATTCTCCATAATAGGTAGACGGCGTCGTAGTCCGCGATACGTTTGTGATGCGTCTCCCACATTCTGAACAAAATTTAGCATTTGGACTATTCTCTCCTGTACATGGAGGATATATGCAACTCACTATTCTAGGAGGCGGAGAGGTATTTGATTGAGATGTGGTATTAGCTGTATAATTCTGATCGTATACCGGGTATTGATGGATTGTCTCTGGTCCACTAATGGCCTTTTGACCCTGGTCAAATGTTGTTCCATCAAAGTTAGTTGAAATTGTAGTCTGACTTTGTTCATACCCTGGATACTGGTAATTCAACCCTTGAGCTTCAATGGTTTCATTGAAACTGTTCGGAACCGTGACTTGACTTTGGTCACTTCCTAAGTATTGATAATTTGATTTATGAGTTTCGGCAGCACCATCAATAGTGGTTGAACTAAAATCGTGACTTTGATAATATTGATGACCATGATCATATCCTAACCCAGAGCTATATTCTAAATATGGAGAATCAGAATTCTTCGTGACATTATTATTGTCTACGACAGTCTCAGATCCGAGATTAGTATTATATTCTGAATATGAAAGACTTCGCTCTTCCGTGACATTATTATTATTTAAAGCAGCTTGAGTGACATTAGATCCGGAATAACCTTTGTAGTGATCATTTAATTCACTCGCATTTGTCGAATTTTCTACTGCGCTTTGACCTAAGTCATATCCAAACTGATGGGGAATATTATTTGTGTCAGCGACAGTCTGATTGGGATCATAAGTTTGATATTGTTTATCTGTAACATTTGTTCCCCACTGACCATAGTTATTTGCGTCAACAACGGTTTTATTAGGATCATAAGTTTGACCTGCATTGTTTGATTCCCACTGACCGTAGTTGTTTGCGTCAACAACGGTTTGGTTAGGATCATAATTTTGATCTGCGTTGTTTGTTCCCCACTGACCGTAGTTATTTGCGTCAACAACGGTCTGATTAGGATCATAGGTTTGGTCTGCATTGTTTGTTCCCCACTGACCGTAACTATTTGCGTCAACAACTGTTTGATTAGGATCATAGGTCTGGTTTGCATTGTTTGTTCCCCAATCATTGTTATATGAATAATCTGAATTGGAATAAACATATTGGTACTGATATAATTCGGACGAATCGTTAACGGTCTCCCCAATTTCTCGTGAGACACTAAATTCTCCGTGTGCGTTTATTGTATCATTTTCCGCGGACGTTCCCGATGCTTTAGATGTAGTTGAACCAAGAACTAAGTCGTCCAGATCGTCCAACTTTTCGGGCTCTTTTATTGATAGCGTATTTATTTCTTCCTGCTCATTTGATATATTCAAATCAGAGATGACTTGAGCTTTTTCTTCTACTGATGTTAATGCAGGTCGGTCGTCGTGAGAAATTTCTGATTTTGGTTGAACCTCTAATTCTTGGGGTTTATACTCAAATATTTCATGATCGTCTCCGTGGGTTATATTAACTTCTTGTTCTTCAAAAATCTCCAAATTATTTGATTCGTGATTTTCTTCGATTGAATTATTAACTAGATTATTTTCATTGTCTATAGAAGTTACCGATAATTGAGCGTGATCTTGATTAGACTCTATTGTTTCTATTAATGTTACTGCTGCAAGAGTATGACTCAACGATTCCACTGATGGTAATTCTTGAACAGGGTTTACTTCTTCGTTTACTTCTGTAATTTGCTCCTTTTGCATAGAGGACGAAACTTCCTCGGATGTTTCTTTATCATTAACTTCTTCAACTTTTGATGAATCTAAAGGAATCTCGGCAAGTTCTGATCCTGCATCTTCCAATTCGTTATTAATATTATTGATCTGATCGCTTGTTTTTTCCTGAGTTTCAACAGATGCAAATGTCTGAATATCGGACAAAATGTCATTGCTATTCAATTGGTAATTGAAAGGCTCCGCTGTCAATTCTTCATTTGTGTTCGACAATCTATGTTCTGAATTTTTGTCAAGTTTTTTTTCGTTATTTTCTTCGACGTTTTTGGTTATCTCACAAGAGTCTGAATTTTGAGAATTAATATGACTAACATCCTGCTTTTTATCTACTACTTCAGTACCGTATTGATAATATTGTGAAGGGTCGTAAATTTGATTAGGACTATGGATTGAATTTGCATCGTGAGTTTGATTAGGGTCGTGGACTTGATTTGTATAGTAAGTTTGATTAGGGTCATGGACTTGATTTGTATCGTAAGTTTGATTAGGGTCGTGGACTTGATTTGTATCGTAAGTTTGATTTGTATCGTAGGTTTGATTCGTACCATAATTTTGATTTGGGTCGTAGTAATAACTGGTGGAGGGATCATAATAATACTGTTGTTGTGAATAATAGTACTGACTGTTTGAATACAATGAATTATCATAATTAGATCTTGTGTAATTGTAATTTTGATTAAGATTCTCTTCATTAGTGCCATTAACTTGTGTTGAAGAATAATGTCCATCATAATATGTATTATTCGGTGCTGTATTTATGTAGTTTCCACCTGTCGATTCATTTTGCGGAACAGTTGAAGGAACGTTTGAATACCCGTAGTATGAATAATTGGTCTCCACTTGTGCTGTGGTGATCGAATGTTCATTCTCGTGATTATAATTGTCAAAGAAGGACAAAGCTGGGTCATATTGGGTCGACGGTATGGAATCATTTGCCGATTTTGAGGTAGTTGTAGGTGAAAATAAAGAATCGAAAGGACTTTGTGAAGAATCGCCAAATAAAGACGAAGCTGGACCAGCGATTTTTAGTCCATCGTCCAAGGCACTAGGCTCCTTGTGGACAGTGCTTCCTTCCATTTGATTTGAATAACTTCTCTTAAACTGAGAATTCAATTTTTTATAACAATTTTTTTTTTTTATGGCAAGCCACACAATTTAAATATATCTTGTAGAAATTTTTTTTTACTAATTTAGGAATTCGGAAGGAGTGTCCCAAAATTTCGCATGAACGCTATTAGAAAAAAGGTTTTATCGTTTTACACAAGTGGATAAAAAGATCTTAGTGATTTACTTATTTTTGGTTTTTTTTATTTTAGAATCATCTTATTAACGTAATTGGGTTCTTTCTGTTACAAAACGAAAAAATTACGTATTCGTTTGATACTTAATATATCAATTTAAATGTACGTTTCGAAATAAAAAAAGCAGAACGATAATTAATTATAAATTTTAATATATATAATTTTTTAAAGAATTTTTATAAAGAATTTTTTTTTTTTTAATACTAACACTTATTAATTATTTTTTTAGTAAATGTTTGCATATTATTATATATTATTATTTTTTTATAAATTAATATAAAAATGAATTATCAATATATTAATTTATAAAAATAAATTATAACAATAAATTCATTTATTAATAATAATATATATATTTTTTATAATAAATAGTTTTTGGAGGCCTATGGATCTTATTCAATAATTATATTTACAGTCCTGATCAAAAAAAATTAGATTTGGATTTTTTTTTTTTATAATTTAATAATTATTTATTTAAACTAAAATATATATTGTATATATTTATCAAGATTCAAAAATAGAAATTTTGAAATTTTATTAATGACTAGATAATAATTTTTTTTATTATAAATTATTGATTTATAGTTTTTTAAAAATAATTTCTAAAACTATTATAATTTTTTACTAATAAAATTAAAATTAGAAACTATAATTTTTATTATGTTAATTTTTTAAAAAATTTGATTATAAAATTATAAAATATTATAAAATATTTTTTATTATACTGTATATAATTAATTTTATTAAATTTATATGATTTTTTGTTCTGTAAAATTAATTTTAAAAAATTTTTAAAATATCAAAAAAATTAAAATAACCTCATTTCCATATTTTTTTTTAATTTTTTTTTCTTTTTTTTTATATCTTTTTTTTTTCTTTTTCCTATTTTTTTTTTCTATTCTATAAACTTTTTTTTTTAATATACAGTATCTTTCTTTTTTTTTGTATATCTTTTTTTTTTCTGCTAAAATTAGATTTTTTTTTTAAAAAAGTTTTTTTGAAAAGTTTCTTTTTTTTAAAAAAAAATTAATTTCTATTTTATCACTTTTTTAACCAGTTGATTTTTTTTTCTCAAGAATTATTTAAAACATAATAATTTTTTTTAATATATAAACCTTAGAAAAAGTTTTTTTCATAGTTTTTTTTAAATAAAAATAATTAATTTATTTTTTCTAAAAGATAAATATAATCATAATTATTAAATTTAATATTATATATTTATTAATAATTAGATTAAATATATCTAAAAAATTATTCTACAACTATTATTATTTAAACTTTTAAAAGGTTACAATCAAACCTGGTTATACTGGCTGCATGGTTCTAATGATTTTTCATTATTATAAAGAAATTCATTATAAAATATATATAGAATGTTACAAAAAAATTCACAAAAAATTTTTTATAATTGAAATTTTTATAATTATTAAATAAATATTTATTTAAAAAAGTTTTTTAATTTATGATTTTAAAAGATATAAATTTATTAAAATTTTTAATTAAAAATTTATTATATCAATATTAATATTTTTTTTAAAAAAAAAATTATTTAATTTATTATTTTGTTCTTTTATTTTACTTTAATCTTTTATTTTTTTTTTTTTTTTTTTTTTTTACTGCGAATAAGCATAAAATGCGAGACTTTATTTACTAATTGATAGTACTG